TCTATTAACTTCAAGTACAGTTCTTATTTGACTGTACTGCAGGGCTCTACAAGAATTTCTGATACATCATACCAGCTCAGAGAAACTTTGGAGAATGAATTCATGAATTCTTCATCACAGTGTCTTTAAAGCATGTGATTCCTATTAAGTTTGAGTTAGTGGATATCACTGCTTATGACATGATGCTAAATATACACTAGCACTAAGAATCATGTTTTAGAGAAAAAAACCAAACAGATCATGTAAAGATCAGTCTTTGTAAAGGACTGCTCAACATGGACCAAGGAGAAGTCAGGAGAGTAGTACAGGGAGGAGTCCACAGACGGCCCTGACAGATGTGACACAGACATGGTTAGCTGGGCTTCTCTAAATGACATGGCTCTGTCTTCTCTTTAAGGAAACTGGGCTTGGAAACAATGTGCACTGCAGAAATTTCACTAGTGAAGTCTTTAAGTCAGATGTTACCAGGGAAGGCAGAGGCTGAGTTGTGGTGAACCAACTAGAAAGAGCTGGGCCTAGACTGTGTGGTCAGTGTTCTCTGGACTGTGTGGTCAGGGTAAGATTCATAATGCTCTCGGCTTTGAGGTGGTCATAGAAATAAAGGCAAATAAATTCTTACAATATTTTTAAAATTATGATCAGTGCCGTGACTTAGATCTTCCCAGAGCTCCAAAGAATGCATAATAAAATTAGATGATTACAGAGGTAGTCAAAACAATTTAAAGATATTCACAGATACTGAATTTTTTCATATAAATGATTTGATTTTGAATTGTAAGGTCATCATTTAAAAGGAAGGAGAAGTGCATTGTTAGCCCTTTACACCCTGGATCGATGGGGACCACCCATTCCTTTTAAGTCCTTTATGCATCATTGCTAATAGATTGCCCAGGGAACATCAACTCTCACTTATTTGAATATTCTATGTAAAAACTAATCTTCTGAAGACCTAGAGAAATCATTGTAGATTAAAATAAGAAATAGAGATTTGCATTTATAAGAAATTAATGGTAGTTCTGAAATTGAGGAACTATTTAGTGCTGGAAGAAATAAATACAAATTGTAACATCTATCTGATGGAGTTTTGTTTAGATTGCTTCTGGTGATAAACCATCTATAATAATATAAATCAAGGCTGGTGTTTGCTATAAATTTGCAATGTTTAGCATAATTTTCGTTTGCACTTCATACTAAAGTGACACCAAGAAATATGAGATTAATAGTCAGTTATTAAGTGAAAATGACTTTCATAGCTGAAGTCATTTTTAGAAACGGTTATGTGTAATTCGTTTAGGGAGCAGAGGAAATTAATTTGCAGCTGTGGAGAGATCCAGCTCATGACAACAAAGAGGGAAGAGCGTACAGTAATAAACTTGAGAAGTGTGAGGGTGCATTGCTTTCTAAGGCCTCGACTGGGTTACTCTCAGGTGCCCTTGCTCTTCAGATCACGACACTTTCATCCACCAGTTCTTGAAGGTTCTGCTATCCGAGTAAGGAGCAGAAAGGGCAGTACCTGCTCTCCAGTTATATCACAATATTAAAGAGTGGAACAAGCTTGTGTGGGCCTAGGGGGATGGAGGGTCAGATGCAGCAGCAGCAGCAGCAGCAGCAGCATGGTGCCTTTTATTAATTTTAATTAGTGTTTTCATTAGGAAGTGTCATTTTAAGTTCTTCTTTTAAAGAGAGTGACACATTATCCGCTTTCATCTGTTTCACTGTATGGCAAGTTAGTAGTGATGTAAAACTTAAATTTTGTAGATTGCTGTTTCTTTGAGAAATTTACCCTCAGTTTATTAATGTGATCAAAATTTACACCTACCAAATAGCTAAGCATGGATTATCTGTCAAGTATTGTTCTGAACCCTTTCCATGCATTAACTGATAAGTGCATCTTGATCACTGGATCCCCTTAAAGACAAAACAGTACATTTATTTATTTGAGTACAACCAATTGAACACCCTCCTTATATCTCCATAGAACTAAGTCAGAAATACTAATATTTCAGACTGGAATAAAAATATTATGTTTAAGAATTTAGGAGGGAGGGAGGGACTGGGAGGGAATGAGGGAGCGGGACACGGCTGGGATACAGAGTTAATAAAATGTAACTGATAAGAAAAAAATAAAATTCAAAAAAAAGAATTTAGAAGGTAGATTATAATTTTTTTTGTCAAAGTTAGAAGTTATTTTAAGAATGTACTTATAGGTTCTACTTCATAAGCTACCTGTCAAGGCTAGATAAAATACTTTAAAATATAATAATAGCAATGATGATAAATAATAATGATGGTGGTAACACAGGAACACTCGGAAACAAAGTTAGGTCTCTTGGGTAGATCAGAGCAGAGGTGGGAGGGCAAAACAGTAGGGTGCTGGGGCTCATGAGGACTCACTTGGGTGTGAATGTGGATCTAGACAGAGGTGGAGCTGAGCCCACCCAGAGTGATGTGAGGAGAAAATGATGCCTCAAAGAAAACTTACAGCATGAAGCAAACTGTTCTTTCTGTCTCTTTCCTTCTTCAAGAACCTTCTAAGATGGTGAGTTCCAAGAGAATGACATTTGGTTCTAGATCGGGCAGCAAGGATGGCATATACAGGGAACTATAGATATCAGGCAGCCATGTGCAAAGCCATGCATCGAGACTTGCAAAAAGTCTCGATGTGCTTGTGAACAACATGGGGCTATTTATTTATTTATCTAATCAATCAGTTATCTCAAGTTTCTGCCCATGTTCTTATCATTACACATCCACTTGCTAATTTTAAAGTCATTTGGCTAGCTTGTTCCAGCTCCATTTAAAACTCATGTGTACATGTGAATATAGTACACCTCCACTTGGCCTTACCTGCCAGCCCCAAAACCTGGCTCTTCCTTTCTGCCATTATAAACCAGAACCATAGCTCTGCTAGCATCAAGGACCAGAAAGAGCAACAGAAAAGTTGGTTGTCATCTGTACCTGAAACATCCCCTCCTCCCACATTTTCTTTTCCTAACGACCCTGGCTTTTGTGTTGGGAGAGGAAGGAAGACGTAGCAAAGGATGCCAGCATTCTGCCAGGGATGAAGAAGGTACCTTAGAGTGCTTTGTTTGCTTTGGTTTGATGTAGGTGATTTGTATTATAGATGGCATTCAGATGACCCTGGAAAGCATGTGGTTTAGTTACAAATTAATACTGCCTGACTCCTGTACATGATGGAAGGAAAACTTTTCTTTTACCAGCTTAAGTTTAACAGGACAGCTGATGTGATTTCTTGAAGCTGTTTCTGCCTTTCTTGTGCTTCAGTCTGAACCATTACAGAGGGGATTTGCCTTAACCAATCTCTGTGAGGAATTAATAAGTCTCCCCAGTTATTTTTGAGGGCAGTACTTTATGACAGATGACATATACCCAATGCCTTATTTTGTGGAATGCTTCTGGAACAATCAATTATGTGCATAGGTACATAGTAAGTAATTTTTGAATGAGTGGATTGGTGGATAGATAGAAGATGTACACTGGAATTTGATGTGGGCTTCTGTGTAATGTATACACTGCTGATAACAAAATAAAAGACCTTTGTGCTCGTTTTATTTGGTCTTCTTGGCTCATAATATAAAGATGTATTTGTATTCATTATAAATACGAGTATATTTGTATCTCTCTACAGATGGTTACATATTACATATAATATAATGTATATATTATATACTTATATATACTTACACATATACATGTACATATATACTTGTGTCTTTTATATTAGCAGATTCTTAAAAGCTGAGATTTTCTTTCGGCCTGATGCCCAATTCTTGACGATTTTATGAATGCCTATCTCATGTGCAATTTTTACACTTAGTCTGTTGTTTCAGTATCTATTTTAAATATTAAAATGCACTATGTAAACTCAGAAATGAAGTTCAGAGGTTGGCAATTATCAACATAAGCAGCCTTTTAGACATCTATGTGGATGTGAGAAATGGGCTGCAAGTGAAATCAGATGGTGCTACCAAAAGGAAACTGGTCAGGGAGGGTGGTGTCATTATGTAGGGGGCATACTTTTAGACATTTACTTGTCATTATAAATTTTCGTGTCCCCAGGCAAGTTCACAGGGAGTTTTAGGAGCTCACTATAGCAACTCAAATAAAGCTCATGTTTAATTTTGCTGACTGTGAATAGGGTCAAATAAGCCAGTTTTAAAATGCTCTGAGACAGGGAGTAAGGTAGACCGAGTCAGAAGGAGAGCCTTCCAGAATCAGGAACATCAGAATTGGAGCAATCTTTCACATTCTCAGTTTGCATCAGTGAATGACTTGTAAGTGACCTTGAAGGCATGAAAAGCATGAGCGGTTTGCCCAGCTTGCTACTATAATTAGTATTATTCCAAACGAAGACAACTTTGAGCTAAAAAATAGATCAATACAAGAAGCATTTTTAAACTCACAGGAGCTTCCAAATAATATTGGCTCTTTATGGAGGTTATCAGTGTTACTTAGTTCTAAAGTCCTTTGAGTCTGGACTAACTTTCTTTAAGGCAGTGTTCCTATAATGGGACAGTGTGATTCTATTCTTCATTGTCAACTTGATACACCTGAGAAAGTGGAACCTCAAGTTGAGGAATTGCCTCCATCACATTGATTGCTAATTGACGGAGGAGAGTGGAGCTCACTGTAGGCCAATGGTTCTGGGTTGTCCAAGAACAGACTGAATAAAAGCAGGAAGCAAGCCAGTGTTTGAGTTCCTGCCTGTAGATTCCAGCCGTGGGCGCCTGCTCTGAAAAGTTTTCCTTTTCCTGGCCTCAAACAGTTTCACCTTAATTGACACATGATAATTGAAGATTGTTACGAAGCCCGGACTTTTCTAAACAAATTGCCTACATTTTTGCCCTTGCTTTCTATATGAATTTCTCTAAGCCATTACAAACATTTTTGTGGGAAATGTATAGAGAAGTACCCCATACTTCCTGCAGAAAACCTGCTTGCTTCTTCCTGTGTAACCACTCATTTCTCTTTTTGTGAAGGCCAAATGTTTGCAAAGAGGAGCAGCTGATGGCAGTAGGCCTGTCACTCCCGTGCACTCGAGCTTTCGTAGACACCGTCAAGTTCTGGAAACAAGGCTGCTCAGGCCCACAGTGGTGTGTGGGTTATGAAAGAAGGTAAGGTGATGTCCTAACTCCTGGAATTGTTAAAACCGCAAACCAGAAGTGTCATCTGTTCCTAAATGCTTTATCCTCGGAGCTGCAGGAAATGGGTGGGAGCACTGATGGAGAACATTCACCATTACACAGTTTCCTTCAGCAGGAGGCTAGCTACTTAGTTTATGTTGGACCTCGATTATGTGTGAACTATTTTTGGTTACATGACACTAATTTTACCTCAGGATATGATGTATCGTTGAAAGCTAAAGATCAGAAAACCGACAGAAACAAGGGATATTGTGCTGGTTTGCTAAATTTGGCTCGAGGTGGTCCAGGGTTTCTACAGCAGCGAACCAACACCTGACCTGCCCTTGTTGCTCTGGAGCACTTTGAAACCCACAGATCCTTTAACTCTGTTATGGCCTTTGAATTAGGATCAACCCAGCCGGCTGTGAGAAGAGAGAAAAGCAAGTTCCCACAATGTTTTTGGAGAGTCCAGGCTTCATGTAGACTTCATTTTTTTTTTTTCAGTTTTAAAATAGTTTCACAAATCATCTAAGAACCTCTTGATACAAATGGTTGCTAATGGGTTAACATTTGTGTAAATGAATGATAAATCTTAACAATGGTTTCAGGTTAATGACTTCATTAATACTATTATCAGCTGTGAAAAGTTAGGGTGTTCTCAAATAATTAGCTTTTTACTGTACAAGCATGGTAACAGTTATAATAGAAGACTGAATTATGTATAACTATAAATATGTGTGCATACTATTTGTGTGTGTGTCCATTAGATGAATACTCTTTGGGGGATGTTGTTTTAAATTAGGAATATTTATTTATTTTTAATTAATTAACTTTTCAATTAATTATAATTTATTCATTTTGTATCCCAGCTGTAGCCCCTTCCTTGACCCCTCCCAAACTCTCTCTTCTCCTTCCATGCCCCTCCCCCAGTCCTCCTCCCCTTCCCTCTGACCCTGGCCTATCAGATCTCAGCAGAACTGGGTGCATTGTCTTCCTCTGTGGCCTGGTAAGGCTGCTTTCCCTTAAGGGGGAGGTGATCAAAGAGCCAACCACTGAGTTCATATCAGAGACAGCCCCTGTTGCCCTTACTAGGGTACCCACTTGTACACTGAGCTGCCATGGGCCACATCTGTGTAGGAATTCTAGGTTATCTCCATGCATGGTCATTGATTGGAGTATCAGTCTCAGAAAAAGACCCCTAGGCCAATATTTTTTTGTTCTGTGCTCTCCTTATAGAGCTCCTGTCCCCTCCAGGTCTTTCATCTCCCCCTTTTTTTGTAAGATTCCCTGCATTCTGCCCAAAGTTAAGCTATGAGTCTCAACATCTGCTTTAATACCTTGCTGGGTAGAGTCTTTCAGAGGCTTTCTGTGGTAGGCTCTTGTCCTATTCCATGTTTTCTCCCTCTTCCGATGCCTGTCCTGTTTTGCCTTCCTGAATGAGGAACAATCATCTTAAACAGGGTCCTCCTTCTTGCTTAGCTTCTTTAGGTGTACAGATTTTAGTATGTTTATCCTATATTATATTTCTAATATCCACTTATAAGTAGGTATATACCATGTGTGTGTTTCTGCTTCTGGGATACCTGACTCAGGATGATCTTTTCTAGTTCCCACCATTCGCCTGCAAATTTCATGATTTCCTTGTTTTTAATTGTTGAGTAGCATTCCATTGTGTAAATGTACCACAATTTCTGTATCTATTCCTCTGTTTTGGGACATCTGGGTTGTTTCCAGGTTCTGGCTATCACAAATAAAGCTGCTACAAACATGGTTAACCAAATGTCCTTGTTGTGTACTTGAGCATCTTTTGGATATATACCTGGAAGTAGTATAGCTGGATCTCGAGGAAGCACTATTCTAATTTTTCTAATTTTCTGAGAAAACGCCAGATTGACTTCCAAAGTGGTTGTACAAGTTTACATTCCCACACACAATGGAGGAGGATTCCCCTTTCTCCACATAAATTAGGAATATTTAAATGACAATTAACTCAGAAAACTTTCTCTAGTTACTACTTGCTTTGTGGCCTAACTTAAATTCACACATTTCTCTGACCTTTAGTGTGTAAATTTGGAAAAATAACAGCATGCATGGCTAGCATGAGGAATACTGAGAACATATTTTACACATGCATCCTGAAAGTACTCAATGTGTGTGTTGATACAAACGAGTAGCAATTAACTTATCACAAAAAATAGGATACATACTTATGGTATATATGATTTTTATTGATTAGAGGAATGTGTGTGTGTGTTCTGTGTGTGCCTGTGTCTGTGTGTGTGCTCAGGTGCATGGCATTCTCACATGTGATAATCAGAGGACAGCCTCCGTTTTAGTTTTCACCTTTCAAGTTTGAGGCAAAGTCTCTCTAGTTCACTTCTGCATATGATGACTTAGGTGGCCAGTGATATTCTAGGCATTCTCCTGTTCTGCCTCCTATCTGCTCCCTAGGAGTACTGGAGTTATAGACACCTGTACTACTGAGTCCAAATTTCATGTATATTCTACAGATTGAACCTAGGTCACTGGCTTCTAGGGGAAGCTCTTTAACAAGTAAATCATTTCTCTAGCCCTAGAAATTGTTTTTGAAAATGGTTTTTCATTTTAATTTCTGCATTATTCCAATATGATTTAATCATTGTAAATATTGATCTAAACAAACAAACAAAAAAAAGATTCTAATCTTCATAGATGCTTAGAATGGGAAAAACAAACACAAATATGTAACACGGGCCTCATATGTTTATCCTCAGGAGTTTACTAGTTTAACAATTCTTTTTTGTGGCACCAATTTGGAAGGATAGCAATGTAAGGAAAATGATTGGCATCTTACCAAACATATTCTTTTCTGTTTGTATATACATCTAGTCATATCCTAATTGGAAAGATATACACACAAAAAAATACTAGACAATATTTCAAGATGTTGAATAATTGAATGTCGTAAGCAATGCTGAAGCCAATAAACTTTGTTTGTAGCAATAAAGAGAGTTGACATAGAGGCGAGAGATTTTAGAGGAAGCAGAAATAGAAATTGGTCTTAACTAATGAAGGATCTACACTAGGACATGTGACAAGGGTACATGAGTGGAAAGAAGGAGCTAGAACATTGGGGATAAAGCACACAAAGGACTTCGGTTTGATAGAAATGAAATCAACATGCTTTGAGCTGTTTGGTACCGCCATCAGCAGACAACTCAACACTGTGGTAAATGTTCTGTTTTGTTCTCATTAAGAGGCCTTTGAATTCATCTTTTACTGTCATTGCTTCACCCCAAGAGAAATTTTGACATTATGCTTGTACTTTAAATAAATATTTTATCTTTATTTTTAAGTGTGTGTGTGTATGTGTGTGTGTGTGTGTTCGTGTGCGTGTGAGTACAGTGTCTGCAGAGGCCAGAAGAGTGTCAGATCCCCTGGAGCTGGAGACACAGGCGATTGTAAGCCTCTGGAAATAGGTGCTGGAAACTTGAATCCTCTACAAGAGCTCTGAGCCGTGTCTCCAGCCCACATACATACTTTTTAGCTATCATGTACTGTGTTCATTTTGGGGGTACATACATTTTTATCGGCTGATTCCTTGCATTCTCCCTACTAAGGACAGTCACTCTGTTTTGTACTTTAACTAGTTGAGAATGCTTGTTACAGTGGGACCAATACGTAATGAAACTTTGATGCTAACCTGAAATGCATGAATCTTATTCTCTTTGGGGACTTCAGACTTCTTATAACTTTGGATTTCGCTCTTGATAACTTGAGTGGTATTCAGGATAGATTATACAAAAGTACATAGGGCCCTTCTTAATTTTCTAAATCTTTGTTGATTACACACGTGATGTAGTTATGTACTATATACAATACACACATATATCTATAATGTGTGTTTTGTGTGTTGTATGTATGTATGTATGTGTATATATATGTATATATCAATAGTAATCTACCTTCTCATTCATCTACCTCTCAATATGTGTGGCAGGATTTGAAGTGGAGGAAGGCATGTTTATGAAATGATAACGCTGCCTTGAGAGAAATGATACATTTCCCTGAATGGTGCCCTGTGCTCCGTAGGACTCGCTACTACACCACCTACAGACATGTATACGCCACAGAGCACCAGACGGTCTTCCGGTGCTGCCCTGGCTGGAGCCGGTGGGATGATGAGCCAGGCTGCTTTTTCTGTAAGTTGTAATTCTTCCTGCCAAGTTCTCTGTTACTAGAGGGTATGCTTTCGCTTCAACCACGCAATGACTACCACATTTCAGCAACTTCAGAAGCACCACAGATTCAGAGCATTGCTTTAGAACAGTGGTTCTCAGCCTTCCTAATGCTGTAACCCTTTAGTGCAGTTCCTCACACTGCGGTGACCTCCAACCGTGAAATTATTCTTGATGATACTTCATAACTATAATTTTGCTACTGTTAGGAATTATAATCTAAATGCGTGTTTTCCAGTGATTCTAGGCAATCCCTGGGAGGGTCACAACCCACACGTGAGATGCGCGAAAATGCACACAAAAAGCCTTTCTGTTAAACATTTTAATGACGGGTTGCAGCTCAGGACCCATAAAAGCTGTTGTATATTCTGTCTATTTAAAGGACAGTTGCTTTAAAGCCAGAGAAGCTTTGCTTGGTGTCCAACCCGCTTCTCTGTTTGCCCCTTTCACATATCATCAAATTTGTAACCCATAGTTAGTTCCAAAATCCAGAGGGAAATCACTGTACTAAACCTAAATGATTTTCTCAACTTGGACTTGTCGTGGTTAATTGAGGAACTCCGGAGGCAGTTTACTTTTCAGGATGAGGCTTGCACTGTTTACAGATGTCTGGTGACAGTATTTCAGAATCTTCAGGACATTGTGTTTGACAGCACTCGGGCAGCTGAACTCGTGGCATTTTACAGCTCGCCAGGCTGTAAGAAATGGTTCATATTAAGAAGTGACCCTTTTACCTGCATTATGTGCTCATGATGATTGTCAAGTCCCTTAGATGACTTCTGCAAGTCTAATCAATAGAGCACCACGGTACAGTTCTCTCCTACCTCTGTGTGCCTTAGGGAGTTTGCCAGCACCCTGTTTCCTTTCCCTATGAGCTTTCTTCTCTTGAAATATATTTGAGAAATTTTGTTGTATGCGGGCATAGTGTTGAGTGCTGTGGCGATGGTGTGTTTACACTCAGGCCACTGTGGCTGGTTGGCTTAAGATCAGTGAAAAGATATGACCACAATTCAATTCCATCATAACTGTGTTATGAAGTCTAAGAAACTGACAGCTCTGAGACATAATCTTTGTATTTATTGCTTAACAACTATCCAAGTTCTTTGCCTCCGGCTAAATAGTAGCATTTTTGTTGTTGCTTTTGAGATCATTTTGATCACAGTCACCTTATCTGCACAGTTTCTTTATGCCAATACTTTTTCATTCACAATGTGAATACAAATCTGTCATCTTGTTAAAGGGTAGGTTCATGTTAAGTAGGTCCAAAAGGGTTCTTAGAATCTGCATTTTGACAAAAATTTCAGGAATGTTCTTACATATAAATCTTCAAGGCTTCAGTCAGCCACTGTCTTGTGGTGGCAATTTCCTGTAAGAATTTTATTTATAATTTCCTGGGGTGAGACCAGTGGAAATTTCTAGATCATGGCATATTAACTGCATGATGCCTACTTATAATGATTTCCTTCTTATCCTTCTTTTGAATACTCCTTTTAGCTGTCTCTTCTTTGGGAACTCATTTCAGTGGAAGGGAGTGCTCAGAGGGGGACACTCAGCTGTGCCTTTGTTTGCCAGGATTTCAGGGACCCCACTGTCAATATGGTAAGTCACCAACAGGATCATTCTGTCGCAATTTGGCACTGTCAATTGTATCCTGGAGGGTTACTTTTCTGGGAATTGGTGACCACTAAAAATGAGTCACTAAGCTGAAATCTACAACTACTGTGTAATAGGCATCATAAAATATGCCTTTTGGTTTACTTGTAAGACTTCGCTGTAAGAGTTCAAAGGTCATTGCAAGTACAAGATGCAAAAAGATGTAAAAAGTGTCAGACGTTGGATCTCTCATGGAAGACAGATTGAAATTGCTGTGATGGTATGGTATTCTGTGAGATCTCTGGGCTCCATAAATGTGCGAAATACAATCAGCATGATGCTGACTAATCATATATCTGTTATCTTTTAAAAAAAAAAATTACAAAAGCTGGAAGTCATCAGACTTGGATGATTCCCAAAGCTTTGACACTCGTAAATCTGCGTTTCAAGATTAGAACCTAACTGTTATTTTGGACATGTCCATATAAGAGGTTACTTGTGTGGGAAGTTTTCAGAGCGACCAATGATTTATCCTTTGCTGGAGAATGTGGCCTCATGTAAAGCAGCTGATGCATGTGCCTTCCAGTGTCTACTGCGTGGAGTTTTTAAAGTGAAACTGTGCGTTTTCTGAGGTCAGAGTACTCATTCATGTGCTTTTCGGCTCGTCTGCACTTGGGATTACGAACAGTGCTCCCATCTTCTGTGGGACACTCCAGAGACGTTCTTGTAACTTAATCTCCAAACTATTTTCTGACCTGATGTTTTAAAAATATATGAATGAAACCAGACGTGGTGGTGCCTGCCTGTAATCCCAGCACTTAGGGAGGCAGAAGTAGGCAGATCTCTGTGAGTTTGAGGCCAGCCTGGTTTATAAAGCAAGTCAAGGGCAGCCGAGGCTGCACAAAGAAACCCTGTCCCCCCCAAAAAAAACCCGAAAAACCAAACCAACTTGTTGTTGTTTCCAAGCAACCCTCACAAAAATATTCCTTAATTTTTATGCATATATCTGTTCACCACAACAAATATATATATAATGTTGAGCACCAGGCTGTATCATTACTATTTCTCTAATTTTTTAGAAATAACAAAAAAATTACATGTGAATTTCTGATAACAAATTACTTGACTTTAAATAAATGTTTTCAACTAAATTAGTACTAAAGGTTTCTTAGTTTGGGCAATAATTGTGGTTTGTAATTACAGATGTTATTTGTTCACCAAGAGGTTTTTTTAAAAACCATAATTAAGTATTAATTTATAAATGCATTGTTTTGTAGAGCAAATCTTGCAGGATATCATGTCCCAGAGGACAAAGGTAATAAAAGAGACATAGGGTAATGATAAAGGCCCAATTATACCTGGATTAATTTATCTTTATCTTTACACCAGTGCTTGAATATTTTGATTATTCCCACTTCTTAACAACTGCCATACACCAAAGTAATTAATGTGCTCTCTGAATTCAAGTAGCCAGACTTTTCCTTTTTTGTAGTTTTGGCTTGGTGAACGTACTGGATAATTTTAAACACAGGAAGAAACATTGTCTTTTGAGCAAGCGTGTCTACACACCATGAAGTCTCCAGAGCCACGGGATCACAGCAACATATGAAATACCTGTCAGGAGTCCCTGCTGCGCTCGCCAGTGCTGCTGTCCAGATGTGCGCACCTTAGATTCTGACACTGTTTTTCCTGCTGCTACATGACTTGTTGAATTTAAAAAGGAATTGACAAACCCTAAGGGTTTGTTACCAAAGAGTACAAGTTTAAACTTCTCCTACATAGGACTGTATTTCACCCACAAAGATGGGCCATCCCTAACTATATTAAACCAAGGTGGTTTTAATGGAAAAAACAAAACAAAACAAAAAAAAAAAAAAAACTTGAACTTTCTAAGAAATCAAGCAGCTGAGAAACAAGTGGAGAAGCCAAATAAGAAATTGCATTGTAGCCTGGTGAGGCCGACTTTAACTTAACACTCCTCTAGGGGTGGAGTTTTTACGCGTGATGTCCTCCCCCTTTTTTATATACGCGTATCTATCACAGTACAATAACTGTAACGCTAGTTTTGAAATTATATGTAAAAAAACCCTCAAAAGTTAAAGGTTAAAAGATGTCAATTATTACACAATCCCTCTCTATGAAACAAGGCAAATGAAAACGATACAGAGCTGACGCACAGATAGCCCACAGACAATCATGATGGCTATCACCATCCATATTTGTTTGTATTGACACAGACAGGTGAGCGTGCACAATGAGGTAATATTCTGTACAGGTGTCTGCTGAGGACCCTTCTAATGTTCTCCATCTCTTTTCCTTTTTCCTATCAACTGTGTTCTCCCTCCACTGCCACAGCTTTTGAAAACTTTCTGTCTTTGTCTGAGCTTACTGGGTCGTATAGAGTCAGCTGTACAATAGTCTATTGCATCAGTGTGGCGTCCATTTTTTTTTTTTTTTTTTACTTACTTATTGAGTGAAAAACATTCGTTCTAAATTTTGTTCTCGTTTCTGGCACAATAATCAGGCTTGTGATAATACTGTGCTTTATATTTTATGAAGAATGTCCCAGCTGTGAGAGGTTTTTGGGGTCAGTGAGTATGTGCAGTTTAAATTTTTATATACTTAAAGATGTGTGTGTGTGTGTGTGTGTGTGTGTGATGGCAATGGCTGTGTATGGTTGTAGATTAAAGTTTAGGTAAATCTTATTTGCTTATTTTTGATATTTACGTAAAAGAGAATCCTCACATCTTCATTCAGAACCAAGGATGTGATATATATCTCAGATCATCGGGGTCACTGTAAAGTGAATCTGTAGCCTGTAGTGTTATTGGTTTTACCAACATGTATGGGAAGGGAGAACTATGAAAATAAGCCAGTCGGCCTGTCTTAAAATGAAAGAAAGACTAGTAGTCCTATTGAGAATGAGAAAATGCTAATAAGTGAGAACAAGGCTTGAAGTTAATAATGATTCTAAAATTGCTGATGTACTTAACTCATTTGAAAAAAAATCTGCCTCTAATAAGGCGAATGAAGAAAATGAATTTGGACAATTAGGAAGTAATGAAGGGCTTTCTGAAATAACTATTGATTAAAGAAATACTTTGAAGATTTGAACACATGCAAATCAAGCCAGAGCTGCTGGTGAAGTTTTCTCTTTTGAAATTTCATGGCTTCAGAGAGAACTGGAAGTTACAGGAGCTGATTCATTTCACACACAAAGTCACACCTCATTTCCACATCACTTCCCCGTCTTCCTTTTCTCCGGTCAGAAGTCAAGGAAAATGACAGTGTGGCTAAAGGCAGGCTTCTAAGTTTTCTTATATTTGTTCATCCACTCATTAGTCAGTCAATCAAACTTCGACTGAGTCTCCCAGTTAGTAAATATTTATATGGCAGGCTGTGTACTAGATACTTCAGACGTAAAAACATAGAGTTTAATCTTAGTCTGGGGAGAAGCAGGGACCAGAAAGCCTATGATTATTATGCAATTCACCATTGCTCTGATGGAGGATGATTCTGTCCTAAAAGAAAGAATACAGTGCTCACCTATGCCATGCAGAGGAGGGGAGAAGTTCCTCAAAGGTGCTTTTCAGTACAGAATACAACCAGTTATTAAAGATAAATGGAAAAAAAAATCATATGAAATTTGGTGGAGGGACTAGTATATTTTCCACAGGCATAAAATCAGATAAAGGATCAGCAACAACAATTCTCTTGGCTATCGAAAGTGCTATACAACAAATGGCAAAAAAAAAAAAAAAAAAAAAAAATGCCATTTGTCTTGGGTCAGGGCAGTAATTCCTTTGCTTATTTTGATACAGCCAAACCTGGTTTCCAGAGACTTTATATGAGGAGGGCAAACTGATAGAATTCTTCATAACTCTGTTGTCAAATTCAGTTTTCTGAACAAGACAGTCCTACAGTTGAGGTTCTCTCTGTTTCTGTCACTCTTCTGTGACTGTCTCTGTCACTCTTTTTTTTCTCTCTCTCTCATCTGTGTGTGTGTGTGTGTGTGTGCATTAGTACACATCTGTATGCACACATTGAGGCCAGAAGAAGGCATGTGGACATCTTTATTTGTCTCTCTCCCCTTATTCCTTTGAGACAGGATCTCTCCCTGCACCTGGTGCTCCCTTTTTCTCAGCTAGACTGAAAAACCATCAAACCCCAGCAGCATTCTCTTCTCCATCTCTTTCAGAACTGCGTTTATAGCTTGAATGGCAAGCCTGGATTATGTCTCAAGGGATGATATCCAAGTTCTCATCCTCTTGATTGTTTAATAAGCATTCTTAGCTGCTGAGTCATCTTTCCAGCCCAAGCTGGGGTGTCTTGATCATGCAGCATCAACTGTTGTTTTTCCATTTTCTGTACTTATGGAAAAATCCACAAGTGTCTTCACCACCTCAAAATATTATGTCTACATATGTGAAAAGTAAGGAGCTTTTGGAATGATGTCTGGGAAGTACTCCGGCATGTTGAGGCTGAGGCCGGGCCTCACTGTTGACTGTGCTCCTTGGTGAAATCGCTTATATGTCTAGTCTTGGCATTATCATTTTTAAAGAGACAAATGAAAACTTTAGCTTGTCTAAGTTCCAACGATATTCCAGACAATATTTCCAGAATTTCATGTACATTAAATAAGCAATAATCTAAGGGCTATGGAATGAATAGTCTTACCCCACCTGTATGGAGTCATAGAGACTGCTCTATGGTGAGCAAATGGTGAGGATGTGAGACACGTAAAATCCATGCATACTATGTTCTGAGCTTAACCTGAAAGCTGGGATGTTCTTCCGGCAATGTTGGTGTGACTGAGTGGTGTGTGTAGGATGTTGTTAGTAAGAGTCCTAAGGGATGACACGTGTGATCTATGAGCTGAATGCATTGCCCAAGCTGTACTAGCTCTTGTTTGCTGTAGATGCTCTGAGGATTCTGGAGGGGGAGCTAACATCAGAGGGGGAAAAAGCTCCAGTTTTTCATTTCCTGCTCTCAGGAATCTGAGCAAA